GCCGCACTCGGGTCGCAATAGTACCGCATGCAGCTCGCGAGCCGCGATTTGCCCACCACTGGTTTAAGGTGATTACCATCTAAAATTAAGTTAAAAGCAGTAACACTCTGATTACATTAACATTAAATGCCTATCTTTCAAGCCATTTCAGAGAAAAGGGAAGCTAGCTCAGATAACATTGTGATTGGTGTAGGGGTTGGACTTGGCATATCCTTGGCAGTGAATGTATCACTCGTAATTGTGATATGTGTTTTGGTGCGTCGATTGAAGCAACCCTCACTTACAGGAACACATTCCACAAATAACGTCAGAGATGAGAGCTATGACAATCTGGGACATGGACATGAATACAATAATGCGTACCAAAGACCCGCAACTGCAAGTAAATAATGTTTCCTCTTTTTTTGTTAACTCGGTTTATGAGTATTCTCGACATCATATTGGACATTTACATGCACAATTCTCGAAGTAATTAATTTGGATCACGATTCTGTATCGATGCAAAATAACGTATGTGTTTTGGTTGCATTGTGCACATTCAGTTTCAACAGAATATTAAATAAACAAATAATTACTTGGAACAAGTTAAACTTAATACATTTGAAGTATTCCTGTGGTGCAAAAATCCTTAACACTATATCATAGATCATCTCATTGGTGAGGAGATAGGAGATTAGCTTTTTCAGTGACTATTTTATATCAGTTGGGGAAGCACGCTGATAAATTCGATCTCATGATTGGAACACAAATCAATGCTATATCATCAGGTGCTTTCTTTGAGGGAAAGAATTCGATTTCATCGAACTGATCTTAAGTAACTACGATAATACGAGGGAGTTTATTTAACAATTTTTTAAAAGTTTGATACATAAATTTTCTCCACATTATTTTCAAGGGAAGTTAGTTTTGTTAGTGTGACATTCTCTAGTATTTGATACGTCCTTGAAATCTGTTTTTTATGATAAACGGTGAACTATCCGACACCTGGTAATACAGACATTCAATAGGCTTCCTACTGCTTCACTGTGGAGTATGTTACTAGATTATTTGTGAATGCATAGTAATCTATTGTAAATATTTACTTAATTGTATGTCAAGTAAGAATAATAAAAATTTATAAATGATATTACAATTCAAATCGTTAGCTTTTTATGAAAAAAACAACAACTTGAATCAATAAATAATAGCATTTAATACGTTTTCTAAAATATTATGTTACAACAAGTAAATATAGCTATTGAAAATCGTGGGGGGGGGGGAATCGTCATCTATTGTTTATAATAAAAAGATTGTGTTTTCCTTAATCTAAACATGTATTCATTTTTTAATAGGTTGGCATCAAAATTCAAAAATGAAAGTTCAAATAGACATTGGGGATAGAAGAAACAGACAGACAAATTCACAGTCTAGTAATGTCTATAATGAGACAACGAATGCAACCCCTGAATATGAAACTATTGGTAAATAGTAAACGAATTCAACGTCATGAAAGGAGACACAATGTTATATGATCTTGACCTACAAAAGTTATCCTATGAGTCTTGATGACTTATGTTATATTGAGAATAAGATAAACTTTTACATAACATGTAACTAACTTAATTTCTATAAAATAATAGTTTTGTAATAAGTATGAATTGTGAGAATATACGTAATTCTTATATGCCTGTTAATCCCTCTTACATTTTTATAAATAGTTTTAATTTAGTAAAATATAGGACCCAAATTCGATTATCTCTTAAATTCCATTTCTTTAAGGCTAGCACTGGAAGGTGAGGGTACATTTTAAATGGTACACTCCAACTAACAAGCGAAGCTATTTTTACATCATTTCTGATCCATTCTATAGCGTTGAATGTGTGACTGATTCATAAAAAATGTCCAAATTTCAATACCATTTTATAATTAGACTATGGTATATATGGAATAGCGTTTCAGCATTGTGAAAGAAATCCATCCATCCCTGTGGCACCACTTTTTTTTGTTTGTTTGTAGTCGCTTCACTTAATAAATCAGATGTCAATAAAACTTACCAGGATGCACTACCTTTTTTACGGAATCATGTACTGGCCGTTCTTTAAGAGATGCTGCCTTTAATACATAAATGGGAAAACACATCTATTTCCCACTAAAGGAAATTGCGGAATTTCTGCAATATCAACACATGGCAAGAAAGGTTTTAGGCCAGAAAATTATGGACTAAATAGTTAATTACTCACATTATTACAAAATTTTTCGATGGAAATCAAATCAATAGCTTGCTGGCAGGAACTTTTTTTTTTCAGTAGAAGATTTAATGAAGGAGAAAAAACATATAATGTCAATAGAATTAGAAAAGCAAGCTAGGATATGCATTGATGAATGGTCTTTTTAAAGAAGTCAGTGACATTGCACGTGCCTCTTGAAATAAATTGCTTACATAGGAATGTCGGCAATAATACATTGTTTGTAACAAGTCAAAACATCAAGTGAGCCTCGCCATCTGACCTGAAAACCATTTCAATAAACCGAGAGTGCATGATAAATAGCAAATTAACAATAATACCTTCTTTGTAACAAGTCAATCCATCAAGTGAACCACGCCATCTAGCCTTAAACCATTCCAAGACACCAGAAGTGCCTGGTGAGTAGCAAATAAACGTAATCGTTTTTTTCATTAAACTGACAAAGAAATCGATTGTAAGAAAGGATACGTGAAGTTAAAGATAAAATGATATCACATTAAATTTAGTTTTATTCTATTTTGGTATTTAGAATTTCACTATGTAGATTTTGAATATGTAAATATTTTACACAAAATTAGTCGGTGTCTTTAAAAAAAATGAATATTAAATGTAATGGCATGCATTGGCGAACTGTTCACTCGATATCAAATTGGCCTACATAGCCTTTTGGGCTCTCCACCCCTTGCTCTACAATGTACGATCTAACAGTCTTGACCATAACCATCAACATATGCTCCCATCCTGTTCATAAGACAGGGGAAACCCCCTCTATGACGAGAATGCGGATTTAAAATGGCCATATCATTTTCTAAGCATACGAAAAAGGAGTACGAAAAAAAATATATTTATTTACAACCCCATCATACCTCATCTAGAACTAGTCAAAATTTGAGACCAAATATCTCACTAATCACAAGAGATTAATCAAACTGTTTTTTTTCTAAATGAAATTATGTTTTCTATTTGAAAAAAAAAAATTCCTAACACTCCGCATATGTACAATTTGACACAAATTAAAAAGCTGATTAATGATTGGAGCGTTGGGCTTTCATTTAGAGAGTAATGTTTTAAACGACTTTATATCTCATCCGACTCCCCCTTGTAAAAGCATGATTTTAAATCAAAGTGAGGTGCACATACTTTTTTAAAGTTACTTATTAAATAAGTACTGAGGAAGTTTGATATATATATATATTGTTTAGCTGATTGAAATATATATTAATAAATTATTTGTAAAACTTACCTGTGTTCTGTTTGTTAATTTTTTAAAACTTAAATTTAAAGAAGATAATGAAATAAATATTGTAAGATCGATTTAATATTACATTTTTTGGTCCCAATTACTTCATAATTTATAACTCATGTGGGCACTTACCATTTAAAAGGAAAACATATTTACAACAGCACTTTCCTGATAACATTTTTGCCAACTGAGAACCCTTGACTTAAGTACTTCCTCCGTGTTTTCATTGATATTTCCCATGCAAAGCAATACGGTTTTTTGGACTTATTGTAAGTATTTATAAGGTGAAAGTAGCCATTTGACGTAAGAATTTTAATGAGTCAAATATGTTATAAAATAAATTTTAAAAATTACTTTTTTCAAGTATATGTTACTTCTTAGTTACACAACATCTTGCAATAAATTACTCTCTAAGATTTCCAGCGTACACGAAATGTGTTCCTGGCACATGGGATCTGTATTGTAATAAACAGTGTTTCACTGCTGGTAGCTCACCCTGTAACGTAGACACTGGAGCTTGTCAAGTTTGTAATAGTTACACAGATTCACCTTTGTGTACACATGGTACGGATTGGTCGATTCCCTTGAATAACCTTAAAAGGGGTTGACAAAACGGAAAAGCCCAGCTGCATATCATTTTATTAGTATTATAGCCATAACATAAAGAATGTTATGTAAATAAACATATCAAACTGGGCCCAGAATTTTTTGAAGAAGAATTTTAAAATGTAAACCTTATGTGTACCTGATACAACACAAATTAAATTGCAGCGCCACCAGGGTTTGGGCATCGGTGACGAACAGCACAATTCCGTCTACGGTCAGTCACTGGCGCAATAGGTTGTCGCTCGCTCAAGCCAGCAGTGTCGGGGAAATAAGCTGTTGTGACACATACGGACTAGTACTTCAGCACGCGCCTCGTTCCCCAACACAAAAGCAAGGGGTTTAGAAAGTCATCTTGACTTCGTATCATATATCTGATTATGCTAGCAATGAGACAAAGAGAATGGTTAGAAATCTTCCTCTCATCGAGGGCAGGGGATTCGTTCTCACAAGCCCTTTCCCAGGGAGTTAATCGGGCAGGCTCTTCTGCTTCAAGCGATGGTCAATACCACAGGTCGCTACTAGTCAGTTATGCCATGAAAAAGCATAACCTGTGAAAACAGACATAGTTAACGTAAAATATCCTTTGATTATATAATTACCAAATCAATGCAGTAAGTATAAAAATGATTATAAATTCGTTTTATTTTGAACCAAAATCATTGATTTTGGAAAACAATTTTTTTTGGTTGTTGTTTTTTCCACAAATTTCTCATTAAGCTTTTATCAAACGTTTTATTTATTTACACACAGAATAGTATCTCTAATCACTAGCATTGGGTCTCATTTATTGCACAAGTCGCCGATACAATTTTAACAACTGCCCCATTTTGTGTGTGTGTACCTTTCACAAAACACTTTTCTTTAAATCAGTTATAGAAAGTTCAACTGATAACCATTTCCGTTAAGTACTTGACCCGACTTTATTCAAACCATCCCAGTAGCATAACACAAAGCATGTTACACTTCATCATTTGATCAATTCTTTTTAAGAAGTAGTTTTAACGTATAATAAACATTCAATTTGGTGGTGATACGAAATAATTTGAAACTTGTTTTACAAGTGTCATTACTGTCATTAAAACTGCAAAACGTTTTGAGCAGTTTTTTGGAAAAATAAATTGTTACATTGGGCACAGAAATTGGATTCGTTATTTTAAAGACAGGTGAACACAACAGGTAAGAAAATAAAGGTATTTTATACTTTCATGTGCTGCCTTTTACTCTACAACGTTACTGACTCACTCATCTGTAACCATTCAGGACGAAAACCATAATTTATTGGTGTGTGTTTGAATTTCGCTTGCTGATCTGTGCAGCGATTCAGAACTTTGTGAAGAGAAAAAAAATATTATTTTGTATATTTAAATTAATAAATTAACCAACGCTCTATGATGTATAGATTTAATCAATGCTACCATGCGTTGAATCCTACTGCTGTATATTTAACATCGCTTAAATGTACAATACTCTGCACAAGGAAGTTAGTATTATCATTCTCTTATCAGTTATGATCCATGCGGTTTGTGATATTGTCTGATAACATTGAACGCATTGCCAACTGCAAAGCCTTATGCACATAAAATGTTCACCGGGCTATTTTATTGGGTTGGAAATGGTGCGTGGGGAAAGAAATGAGCGAACGATTAGAAAGGAAGAAAAGAAGAAGTATTCAGTTAAGATACGATGTCATTTAAACAGAAACCCACCAACAGGTTTTGGCTAGGAAATTCCGAGGTACCGGGTTTTCGATGGTATCGAGTGTGTGGTTATAACGCTCTTATATTACTAGGAAGTCTATAAAAGCTAATATTAGTAAACTAGAAAAAAACATATTACCTTGTACGAAGGAAAAAAAATGACATTGCGTTTCCTACTTTAGATATCAATACCTAATTGATTTTCAAACGAACTAAGTTCCCAGTGATCTGTGAATAAATATGTTTTCGTTTATTAACGTCTTGTCATCAAAATAAGCAATATATTTGTTTGCACAATGCCATATTATCATATCGATCATATTTATACAAGAAAGCATTGTTAAAAATACTACAGTGGAAATGATAATGTACTTATGTAGAGTAAATTTGAAAACATATCAAGAGAAAAGGACGAACTTTTTATAAGCTGAATATGTATTGTTTTTCAAAAATTTTAAAGAAAATTGACGTTGTCTTATTGTTAAATGAAGTGTTGTGTATCAATAACTGTCTATCGATCTGTTCTGTCACAAAGATATATTAATTTAAGAATGTGTCAGACCATAATTATACTGTAAATATGTGTATCGATATTTGCAGGAAGATAGTTGTTTAGACTTTCTGTTATGTGGTCTATACAAAATATAAATATTCAGTGGAAAACAAACGAAGGCACATATTTTATGTATTTCCGAAAAATTCCATTTTGTAGGATTTCTCAAAAGTCGAGGGTGGGGGTGGGAGGAGGGGGAAAGGAGATAAGCCGGTGAGCCATGGTGAACAAGATGGTTATTATGGATCTTGGAGTAAAAACCACAACACCTAAAGTTCACTTTGCCCGCTATTTTGTTAGTAATACTTTCAAAGGTGGAACATTTTCTTTGCAAACAGCATTGCGTATTCAATGGTGATCATCCTGCAGTAGTCGTCACTGTTGTGGGTGTAGGTGGGTTTGGTTGAATTCTTACTTTCACTTGCTCGAGACAATGGGACATCAAGTTGTCCATTTCAGATAACCATAGGTTTGGGATGAATTTAGACATGATCGGATGTCTTTTTCTTGAAATTGGTCGATTGTATCACATAAGCAGGATGGATGGATGGACTTGCCGTCGCAGAATGAAGAGGAGATTTTTTGGGAACAAGATTTAGGAGCGTGAACTTTGCTGTGAAAAGTTGCTGGCCGTGAGAGCATTTTAGGAGCTTGGAATCGTGCGGCCCCGGGGGGGGGGTGGAATTCGTGGTTTTGAGTGCACAAGGAGTTGAACAGTAGGACAAGGACTGAGACGGAGAGCAAACCGTCGTGAACTCGGACTAGAGAGTTAGACCTATGAGAGTTCCACGATCATCAAGATTAGGATATCTGTTCCTTTGATTTGTGTTTAATGATGCCACTTTGCGTACCATGATGCCATGTTGTGTGCTGCGATACCACTTCGTGCACCCTGATGTCATTTTGTGTATAGTGATACCACTTCGGGTACTAAGATGCCACTGTGTGTAATTCGTGAAAAAAGAGGTGGGGAAATCGGATAGTGCGTCAGTTGCTCTAATAGCTAAGAGGCCCATAGGTGGCAGAGAAACACTTAGAGAAATTAAGCCGACGAAGTGCGTGACAGAAAACAGTGGGAGATAATAATATTGGAGGCGCTGAACGTTGGAAAAATCGTAAACAGAGAGTAGTGCCAATTTGTGAGGTGAAAACAATTTACGCCATGATTTTATTCGGTGATGAAGTTGCGCTGAACGTCCCTTACAATCATTGTATTCGAGTTATCTCGAATCGCCGTTTGTACTGTTTCAAACTGCAGCATGTTGATTTTTTTTTTTTTTTTTTTTTTTTTTTTTTTTTTTTTTTTTTTTTTTTCTTTTTTTTTTTTTTTTTTTTTTTTTTTTTTTTTTTTTTTTTTTGCAAACGTGATTAACTACAGCTTCTTCGTACACTTCACACTCCCAACACGGTTGATAACCAGGTTCACAGAATGTTAACAGGATTTGAAATTGGAGCAAAGCTTTAGCTCAAGAAGCAGAATTTGATCAACTGGTGGTTTGCATCGACAATGTTTGTTGAATATCTGCGGGTATCACGCTCGACCGGTTGCTTTCTATCTTCATTTACTGTTCGTCCGTCGAAGATTGACGATGATCGTCGAGCCGTCTGGTGATTGATGACTTTCGCAGTAGACTTTAGTTTAAAGTGACGAAGAGTTGCACGGCGTCAACCCCACTCTCTCGTCCGAGCCCACTATATCCAGTGGCAAGACTCTACGTCAAGACGACCAGGGATGGGTACGGCTGCAGGAATTGTCATTGCATGCGCCTTACGGGACTCCCACTCCGGGTTTGAATTCAGAGTTTCCTTCTCTTAGATGAGTTGCCGACCAAGGTTATCGCGTCTCATCCAACCGCACTGATGTTTTTGCTCGACTGTTCTTTGGCTGGAATTGAACTCCAGACCACCAACTTGAGGTTTGCTCAGTTGAGGGTGACTGGCTGGCCGAATGGTCATCTTCATTAACCAACACCAGAAGCAACTTTGTTTGATGCTAGGGCGCAAAAGCAACGTGGATAAGAATAAAACAAAAACTGTTTTTTCCACTGGCACCTAGGGCTCCGGACAGATAAACAGAAAGAAAAAAAAAATGATAATTGATATAAATTGTCTTTAGGTTTATCCATCACAAAAAGTAGTCAAAGATGTATATAAAAAGACTCCAGTTAGGATGTATTGCAAAGATTTATATAACAAAAGTATTCTCTTATAATAACATAATGTGAGGCTGCAAAATAGTAAATTGTGCAAATAAGAAAACTTAGGCAAGTTATGTAAAATATACTATTACATTGATTTTTAGAGGCGTTATTTCTAAAACTGACACAAAAAAAAAAAAATCACATTTAATTGAATATAACACTCGATTTTGGTGTATATGAAAGACGTTTAAAAAAAAGACACATGTTAAAAACACCTGAAATTATAAGTACTAGACGACCCACGGCGTCGCAGAATTGCTCATAATGAAGACTTCGTGAAATGCACAGTTGTCCAAACTATTATAATATTCTCAATTCCCAACCACTTTTAAACCCAATATTTTTTACACAATGCTTACATTGAGACGATTTCATTTCCGAATAGATAATAATAACATTACGCACCAAACGCAATTACATTTTTAAATATATATATATATATATATTGAACCACACTCTGGCGTATCTATAAATAGACTCCGTGGTGTTTGAACCGTGTTGGTGTTTGACCTATGCTGGGGAATTTTTTAAATAAATAGATTATGTATGTAAAGTGTGTGTTACTTGTGTACCACAAAGTAAAGAACTCTCTACATCCTATCGCGCGGGATGTAATCGACTCGGGTGTGCCTGCCATGGCTACATTATTTATTAGCCCTAATCATGATGTGAACAATGTCTTTATCACTTTTACATCTGTTCATAATCATCTGCTCGAAATATTTTTTCCCCAACACATTTTTCCCAAGCTAAAATTGCATCCGATAATATTTAAATTCATGTTTAAACTAAGCGCGCTCTTCCAGCTAGTAAGCAGGCCGATCCAAACTAATTTGTGACAATTTAGTAAAAGATTGTCCATAACTCATAGAGTGTATCCATTCAAAGCCTTCCGTAGTATTAAAAGTCGCGGGGGAAATTTATTATTCGATTTTTAAATAAAAGTGAAAATTTATCTCGTAGAAAATTACAATCCACTGTCACTAAATCTGTTTCTCTGGAAATTATAGAACATTTGTACTTGTCATAGGTGGGGTGGGTCATACTTATAATATGTACATTCTTGGGGGAGGGAGGTTAGGATATCCTGCTGACTGGTGCATCTGGGGAGAGGTCTCGGCTGAATATTGAAATTTAATTGTATACAAATTCGGCAATAATTAATTTTCATGAGATTTTTTCAGACAAAATATTGCCTTTTTACATTTTATATATAGCAAATGTCAACTGGAGATTCTGTAAAGTCCATGATGTTTAAGTATCGCCATTTTGTTTCAATCGCTAGATATCACAACTGGTTTCCTGCGTGTGACCCAAATAATATTTCGTCTGGCTGAACCAAAGACTGTCAACATTATTACATTGTTGTTAGGCCTACGCCAGCGACGGTCTCAAAAAAGGGGACAAAACCCGTAAAATATTGTTATCAAGGTTTACGGCCATTAACTATTTCTTTTGAAGGGTGGATAAGTAAGAAACTCATTTTTGCTTATGCTCCAAGAGTAGCGGAATCGAAAACTCGAAAATATACGAACTGAAGTCAGGTGTGAAAATCTGATTATTTGTTTCCCTTCATATTATATGGTTGAACTATTATTTTCTTCATATTATATGGATGAAACATTATTTTCTTCATATTATATGGATGAACAATTATTTTCTTCACATTACATGGCTGAACCATTATTTTCTTTATATTATATGGGTGAACCATTATTTTCGTTATATTATAGGGATGAACAATTATTTTCTTCATATTAAATGGATGAACAATTATTTTCTTCATATTATATGGATGAAGCATTATTTTCTTCATATTATGATTCATCCATATTATTTTCCTTCCTTTAAGTTAACGATTATATTTTTAATGTAATTTCTTAAGTTTGACGATCTTAGCTGTCACACCAGTTTGAAAACTTTAAGATCACATAAGAGTGTGCTGTTTACAACATGATTTCCTCAAAAGAATTCAGATTATCAAAACTTTCGCTCTAAGTAGATCTTTTAAACTCCACTGTTAGATTTGCTTCAGCCTACCTAGAAAAAGTGATATTATATTATTATTAATCTTTCCTTTCCTTTTCTTTTTTTAAATTCAGTTGTATAAAAATCTAAATCATAACTGACCATGAGCAGCGGGCAGTTAACTCAAATTGTGTTTCTGACGATACGTTTGTGGATATGTGCGAGTGCCCAAAGTAAGCTAATTTGCATACTGTCACATGTTTTACTGAAACAAATAAAATTCACATATTTTTTAAGATTATAAATTTTGAAAGTTGAGACATAATGAACTGTGGTAATGGATAAAATAAATAAATATGGAATAACAAAAATAAAAAGATTTCTAAACAATTTGTGAAAATTCAATAATTTATTAAATTTTTTTTTTTTTACGTTCTAATTTAAAGGCAAACATTTTGTTGTGTTCAAACTCATTACTTTTCTAACTGTATTTATAATTTTAGTAAACCTTAAATATTGTGCCAGAGTATTCATATAAATGTTTGTTTTTCTAACTTAATTTGAATATATTACTAATACAGAATTGAGTTGAGTCAAATAATTTTATTTTTTATAGTGGCAGCATTTTCAAGCAACTGCAGCATTCTCTCGTAGTTGGGGGACGGCTAAAATGTTTTTATTTTATTGCTCTATAATATCTCGTTGTTATTATTTAATATATTTCAATTGAATATTTTTTTGAAAGTTATAATATTTTTTATGTTAACTACACACATATATAAATATATATATATATAATATTATTTTAATGTAGTTTACTAAAAATAAATTCAACCCTAATGTGTAGCCATAAATTTCTCCACAAAGACATATTTACTTAAAACAAATACATGTATTAAAATCCTTTTAAAAAAAAAAAAGGGAAAGTAAGATAAATGTTAGCAAAGCCGGTTATTTCGGTGTAAATTTAAATAACATATTTATATATTGTTAAGAACACCTTGATTGATGAAAATTTGAATGAAGATAATATTAAACAAGGCAAACTATTTGTATAATATATGGGTCGCCTAATATCCCATTTTAACATTTAGAATCTATTTTTTTTTCTAAACACACTTGGTACTCACAGTTAGCAATTTAATGTTATTAAAATAATATAATATATATTTATATATATATATATATATATATATATATATATATATATATATATGTGTGTGTGTTTTTCATAGGTAAGCAAGACATTAACGATTTTATTAGTTATTACATTTAACTGACTCCTGACAGATTGTCCTAACGGTTGGTTTGGTAGCCAGTGCCAATATGAGTGTCACTGTCGGGATGAATTAGATTGTTATCCCGGCACTGGCCAGTGTCGTTACAATTCTGCATGTGCGACCGGATGGTTTGGAAACGGATGCCAGTTTCGTAAGTTAAGATTCTAAATAACTCGCGATATATTTCATGTATTTATACTTATAAGCGCAATATAAGAATACATTTATTTTAATGACACATTGTCTTACACCACGGCGTTATGTTAAAATGAAAGTTATTGTGACAATAATATCCGTTTGAAGATACCCAAAATTCAGCCTGTCTTCGAATTATACATAGAATAGTTCTTTACACAATTTACATTGCTTATTGTTTCGTAAATTATTCTACTTACAACACCTGTGGTAAAGTTCACAATTAAAATGCATACTTCTTAAAAAAAATGATAATCATTTAAATTTGAATTATTTTTTTAAAAACATTACGTCACAATGGATGTGAATAAAAGAAGTTTAAACATCAATTAACTATGGGTGTTAATTTGTTTACTATGGATGTTAATCAATTTACTATGGATGTTAATCAGTTCACTACGGATGTTAATCAGTTCACTACGGATGTTAATCAGTTAACTACGGATGTTAATCATATTACTATGGATGTTAATCAGTCTACTATGAATTTAAATCAGTTTACTATTGATGTTAATGAATAATAGAAATGAAGCAATAAATAACTGTTTAAATTCGACCCTATTGCCTTTGTAATGTATTCATTTGCAATTGTTATTGTTAGCCAATAGTTTATATATATTTTCTATTGCAATACTTTCTTTTAATATGTTATTTTGCATGCTGAACATTGTAGGAACAATGACCGAGGACATTCATAATATTTATTCAAGTAAAATGCTTACCACACCGGCCCAGTCAACGTACAGGTGGATCACCGACAGAAACGACTCAACATGCAATACTGATGTCAGTCTTGAGAGTATAGAAGTCTCCTGGCATAATACAAGTTTTCCTTTCACCTGGCTTAGAATTGCTCTTTCAGACGGTGGTAGGTACATTAATAATGATTGCTCTATAGTCTTTTCAAACTTTGCTAAAATGGATCAATGCTATTTGAAATCAATGAGTACAAACTTTGTTGTTAAACGCTCTATTATTCTTTAGATTATTTGTTTATGGTTTTTTTTTTGAAGATCATTTGCAAATTTATTAATCGTATTTAAAAATAAATATTATTTATATTTATGAGCTAAATTTTTTTAATTTGTATATTTTTTCTTCAATTTATAATTATTTTAAAAGTCATTATTTTACAATTCAAAAAGGATAATGGAAAAATACGTTATTGAAGCTAAACAAGCCCACGCGTCGTAATAGTATTTAATTTGAAATTTTAAACTATATGACAATAACAGCATTTTAATGTAGTTTACTAAACATAAATTCAACCCTAATGTGTAGCCACAAATTTCTCCACAAAGACATATTGACTTAACACAAATACATGTATTAAAATCCTTTTAAAAAAAAAAAGGGAAAGTAAGATAAATGTTAGCAAAGCCGGTTATTTCGGTGTAAATTTAAATAACATATTTATATATTGTTAAGAACACCTTGATTGATGAAAATTTGAATGAAGATAATATTGAACAAGGCAAACTATTTGTATAATATATGGGTCGCCTAATTATATATATATATATATATATATATATATATATATATATATATATATATATATAGATATTAAAGAGCCTTCATAGCATACAATTTATCTTACGTACACGAAATGTATTTACTATAATCGATTTGATTACTTCAGGCTTGCTTGGAAGTTTAAACATTACGTTGAGGTCACGGACGACAGAAGATTCTAATTGCACTGGCCAACAAATATATGTCCTAAACGCTAACACTGCGGACATCCGATGTAAGGTGGTGGACGACGTCACTTCGGTTATTATTGACGGTAGAGCTGTCAAGTCGTTATGTTCTCTTTATATTAGTGGAGGTGAGTGAGCAGGCGTACATCATGCCACACTGTCAATGAACAGTTAAATTTTGAAGACATTAATTAACATATTTAATTGCACAGTCGTGGGCACGATCAGTACACACCCATTCCTGTGGCGTGTCAGCCAGCATACGGCTTTGGTCTGACTCACCACATCCTTCCACTCAGACCTATCTGATGCTTTTCATGATTGAATTCCAAGCTGATGTAGATCCCCTTTTTTCACATCCTCCATCCATAGAAGCTTAGGTCTGCCTTTGAGCCGTTTTCCTCTGAAGGTCTTGGTTTGCTGCACCCAATTCACTCCTCTGCCATATGTTATTCTTTTCTAAATGTCCAGCCCAGCGTAGCCTCCCCTTAGTTTATTTCTGTTTGTAGAGTGGTCTCCTGGTAGAGACTATGCAACTCCTCGTTGGTTTGTAATGTCTTTCCATATCCATGGACATGATCAGTACAGCTCTATTTAAGTTTTTAAAAAACAAATTAAAGATCTATTGTAAACCAGTATTAATCTAATTCAATTTATTGAATTTTTATCCTAGTTTCACTTCATTCTCACTTAAATTTTCATATACAAGCTAATCATTATATAGCATTTAATTTAGTATTCATTTTTTTTTTTAAATTTTGTCATTGAATTGTTCAGGTCGTAATGTTGCATTACGACAAGACGCCGTTCAAAAATCTACAAACTTAAACTATACAGCATACAACGTAGTTGATGGGAACGTTGACAAGGGATTTGACTCCTGTAGCCATTCGGATTTCAACGATAATAGCCCTAATTGGAATGTCACTTTCAAACAAAGTCAAGTTGTCAACCGAGTCGTTTTGTACTTCAGAACTGACGCTGGTGAGTCTTTTTTAGAATAACCTATGTATTAGAGGACTGAGCAAATCAATAGCTTTTATATTCTAATTGAAGTTGATCCACATTTTATTGATTGTTCAAATTGCGTTTTTTTTTCCTTTACATCTTTGATGTTTTTATTGATACACAATAAATTAAAATGTGTTTTAATTACATTATACATCTAAATTTTCTAGCATATGAAAAAAAGACACCATTCAAATTAGGATATTACTTTTAAAACTAGAACATTTTTAATGCCATACAACTTAATGTATTGCTCAAGAGCAAAAACCCGCCATCATGGTCTGTAAAACATCCACTCCCTTATTTTGATTGAGTTATTTTTTTTTACTTTATAACATTAAGGGGAGCAACATGATAAGTTCTAGAAGAATGGTCTACAAGTTAATATCATTAAAGTCCTTACTTTAAGGCAAATAATTCTTCATGTTCAAGCTCAAGTAACTGTGATTAACAGGGTTTGATTAATAATTTAAAATTCATTTTGCCAAACTGAATTAAGAAATACTTAATTGCATTTAAAATAGTTTTTTTCAGTATTATCTAAAAGTCTTTGAAAATATGAATTTTTAAAAATTGTGTTTAGCAAATTATAAATATATTTCTTAAAAAAATAAGTTGCCTTCTTAAAATTTAATTCTCATAAAATATCCACACAAAAAATAGAGAATTTATTGAAGAGTTTCGATGAAAAATTGCTTAGGGAAATTTTCTAGGAAAATTAACACAATTAAACAATTGTCTATGGCTTTGAATAATTTAAATTTTACTCCACAAAGCATCACATTCCCAGTACCCGCCTATACATTGGCTCTAGATTTCACGTCATTTTTCCTGTCCAGGGAAAAATTAGCTCTGAATTTGAATCCGTGTAATATCTGAAACGCCTTATTTTGTACAATTATATTACTAGAACTCTTCTCCTCCTTTCCTAGTTTTTGATTGGAATGTTTATTTTTAGTTTCCTTAATTTTATTTCACATCATGTACCATTACTTTTGTTGTATAAGCTATAAAATTAAATGTTTTAAAATAACACGCCGCCAAATCAAACTGTTGTTATTCTTTCGCCCAACCGCTGCACCACTCACTACCTATCCACAAAAAATGTGTTTCTTTTTTTGGATAACAAACATCAGACCCTTTCAAATTATTGATAATAAAAAGCAAACATTTTTCCAAAAACTTTTTTGTTTTCAATTACAAATTTCATCAATGAAATTTTAAATGAAATTGTGCCTGATCACCTTGCCCAATAGTTTAAGTAAGTGACAAAATAAATGATTGAGAAAATTGTTCGTAGAGAAACAAAAAGAAAAAAAAAAAAAAAAAAAAAAAAAAAAAAAAAAAAAAAAAAAAAAAAAAAAACCCAAAAAAAATAAAAAAAAAATGATTAAAAAAATTGTTCGTAAAAAAAAAAAAAAAAAAAAAAAAAAAAAAAAGAGAAAGAAATAATGTATATATAGAAACTGACAGCCCTAAAAAAAACTGAAGGCTAAAAGAATTTTAATACATGTGTACAATTCTTTTTTCTAGCACAACTGGTTTAAGTTTGCTTTTTTAAATTTTAATTATTTAATTTTAATTATTTGACCTTCTGTTAACGGTCATGTTCTTTCTTTTTAAAAGTTAGTAAATATGTGTGGGCTTCATTGGATGACGACACAATAATGTAGTATAGAACAGTGGTCGGTTCGACCACTCAGCCAAAAATCGGTTTTGAATCCGAAAAAAACATGAATCTTGTCAGGTTTTTGAAAAGAGGTTTAGCTCTAAAAAAATTGTTTTTAACTTCCTACTGCTGGTTTTTGGCTCTTTTGAATATAGAGATTTTCGAGCACGGGTTTAGGTTATCATTAAATCGATAAATTAGGCCAGTATCAAAAGAAAGGACATATTTTCCACAAAAAAAAAACTAAATTCGCTTTAATCAGCAGGCTCTCAACTCTGGCCAAAATGGCCACTATTGAGCCATTGCAGTATTTTGAAGCCCCCCGCCCACAAAAAAAAAAAAAAAAAAAAAAAAAAAAAAAAAAAAAAAAAAAAAAAAAAAAAAAAAAAAAAAAAAAAAAAAACACAAAAAAAAAAAAACAATAAAAAAAGAAACAAAACAAAAAAAAAAAAAAAAAAAAAAAAAAAAAAAAAAAAAAACTAAATTCGCTTTAATCAGCAGGCTCTCAACCCTGGCCAAAATGGCCACTATTGAGCCATTGCAGTATTTTGAAGCCCCCCGCCCACAAAAAAAAAAAAAAAAAAATATAAAAAATAATAATACAAATAATACTAATACAAAATTATGTGAATAAACGGAATCAAAATAGTAACAATCTATAAAGAAGTGAACGAAACAAAGTATTGGAAAATCTGGACAAAAGTACACACCAAAAACCCCCCCAAAAAAACACCAGCGAAAGCGTCGACAAGAAGAGTTCTTTAGCGAGCGAACCACCAGCAGTAAAAACACTATAAACATAAAATAAAGAATATGCTGCACTGCACTATAAAGGAGGACAGCAAGATGAAAGTACTGATGTCTTTTTCCCATGACAGATTTTGTCAATAATTTGTGTTCGTTATTATCCTTTTGCCTAACCTGACTGCAGTTTCTCTCTCTTATAACAAGGAAGGGGCCTGTGATAGTTTTAAAAAAAAATGTTAAAGAGGGCTGTGAAAGTTAACAAAATGTGAATGTGGGCCGTAAACGTTAACAAAATGTTAAAGAGGTCTGTGAAAGTTAACAAATGTTTAAGAGGTCTGTGAAGGTTAAGAAATGTTTAAGAGGTCTGTGAAAGTTAACGCAATGTTTAAGAGGTCTGTGAAAGTTAACGCAATGTTTAAGAGGTCTGTGAAGGTTAACAAATGTTTAAGAGGTCTGTGAAAGTTAACAAATGTTTAAGAGGTCTGTGAAGGTTAACAAATGTTTAAGAGGTCTGTGAAAGTTAACGCAATGTTTAAGAGGTCTGTGAAAGTTAAAAAATGTTTAAGAAGTCTGTGAAAGTTAACGCAATGTTAATGCGGGCTTTGAGTGAGCAAGTGAACACAGTATTAGCATTACTTTCCTGGAAAAAAAATCGTTTTTTATTTTTTGTGTAGCATTTAAAATATATATATATCTATACATTTTCCATTTCAGAATGTGTAGCTTTCACTTGCAGCTCACACTTAAACACTTTAACTGTTCAGAGTTTTAATTCAACGGAAATTGTGTTTGAAAACCAAGATCAATTTGATTTAAAGAACTATGCATACATAGTAAATGTACAGGGGAATAAAAGCACAATTCCTGTAAATGGACTTTTCATCAATTTTGATACTACATATTATTTAAATATTTCACTATGTGAAGTCGAAGCCTATGGAGGTAGGTCACATTAGACAGTTTTTTTTTTTAATTACGTTAGTTCTTTTTTATACTTGGAAAAAAAAAACTTTCGTGAATAAATGTTTGATTGATATATTAAACACATTTAAACACAACAAAAAAATCCACTGTTATGCTGAAATAAAATATATAGTATCTCTTAATTTTTTTTTTCTAGACCAGTATAAGTATTTTTTAATAGCAAAAATAACACTTAAGAAAAAAAGAATTACAGATCCTACTTTTTGTAAGGATGATCGATAGCATTTTAGTTAGAGCTTTTGTGTCAATTCAAGTTAATTGAAAGGACACAAGACCATATTCCTTTTATATGTCCAGCCAATATAGAATGAAAATACACAATTAATCTGCCCATCAAATACATACTAAATGTACACATCTAATATTTACAGAAATTATTTAATAAACATACACATTTAATTCGATGTTTATGGATATTGATAGCATGACAAATACATATTTTCACCCGCAATTTAAAAAAAAAACGGCACAATTCTAATACTGCTATTGATTAAGATGTTTGAAAACGATCATTAATTATTTAATTCGGTGACTATAGTTTGCGGTAAATTTCAAATAAAAAAGTTACTGTTAAAAAAAAAGAAGAAAAAAAAAAAAAAAATCCAAAACAATTATACAGTAATTGATCAATAATGATGTCACGACAGAATGTGTACCCGGGACGTGGGGGCTAGAATGCAACAACAGCTGTAGCACATCTTGTGGCTCACAGTGTCATGTAGAGACTGGATTATGTCATGTGTGCAATGGTTTCAACGACCCTCCCTACTGCAACACAGGTAAGTCCTCCCGATTAACGACACACATGAAATGAGTCCAAATGGAACCGATTTTATTAACATCTTATGCGAAAAACTTAACAAAAATAAACACATTTGAAGGACTTTCATAACAAAAATGTACTTTATAATGACTATTCTGTAGACCATAGACTTTCGATTTTCCGAGGTAATTGGGAACGGGTAAAAATTTAGAAAATTAAAAAGAATATATAAATAAATTATTGCAGCCTAGAAAATGTTACATATAAGATGTTAGTGTAAACAATAAATGATTACCTTATAGATATATGCATGTGGTGCTTTATTTTTCTATTTATTAAACACACTGCTCGGCTCTACAGGGGTCAGATGATCAATAGAATCACTCAGTCAACACGGCACTCTTTCTTTCAGCCAAAAGATGATTTTGTTTTTTTTTAAACCACAAATAATTATAATAAAATAACAAATTAAGTAGATGACATAAGCTTAGAGTATAATCTGAAGTGCCTTTGATTTTCCAAACGTGTTTTATGCGATACTTAAAGAATTGGCATCGCCTATTATATCTAGCCTGGAAAATACATCACAGTACGTATCTAGAGTGTATCTGGTTCGTCCAACAAGGGCTTGAAACATTTACCCATGTTAGTGCGCCATTGCTAAATGCGCACTGAGTTCTAAATGATAATTAATTTAAAAGAGACGTGGGTGATTCGTATTGCAGGCGTTTGGGGAAATCGACGCTCTAATATTATTTTACTCAGTTACCTTGTTTCTAGACAGACCTTGCAAGATACTATACAGAGAATCGCTTTGAAACCAAACGAGTTTAATCTGTCTGTGAATTTCCTACAACGAGTCCCGGTCAACTCTATCGACCATCCAATTAACAGTTGCCTCTGCCTCTATTTGAGCACGTACATAACACAATGTGATAATCTTGATAGCTAGTCCATTTAGTAGCAATAAGCATTGTAATTAATGGAAAAGACGTTAAATTGTGTTTGTGTTTTTGTTTGTTCCTGGTTCCCTTAGCCTATGCATGGGTTGATTGATCTTGACCATACATGACACAGATATCCTTCATTATTCATAAAAAAGATACAGCGGTTGTGGAGGGGGGACTTGAATTTTAGAAAATAATCCTTCCGGGGCCAAAGACCACTAAAACAACATTATCTGATAAGAAATATTTTAATATAATTTCAGAGATAGGTTATTGAATCTAAACTATATTCAAATACTGGTAGGGTCTGGATAAGTGTGTCATTTGTAGAATTTTTTCAGGGGAAAAAAAAAGGGGGGGGGGGCAAAACCAAAACTTCGTCGGCCTGTTAAGTATTTTTTATTACTGGAGGCACACAGTAGATGTCAATTTAAATCAAACATGCAAATTCAGGAAGGGGGGGGGCGGGAAAATACACAACCCTGCCCTACCCAAATGACATCCCTGGTTCTGAACTCCTTTGATATTGATGCTACAACCCAGAACGTCACGCAGTATGAACAAAGTAACAGCAATAAGAGTAAATATCTACGCAATTAAAAAAAAAACTGAAGAGCATGAGACCATTTCAAAATCAACTCTATTTGATTAACAAAGACTTCAGTGGTTAATTATGTCTCCAGAAATTTTTTATGACGAAAAGAAAAAATTCAAGGTTGAAGATTATCACTAAATTTAGCACCATCTAATGGTTCTTGTTTTCCATTAATTATGGTATTGTTTTTAAAAAAATTAGATGACAATATTTTATAACTGAGGATGTACTATGAGTATGTGAAGCTTCTACACAATTCTTGTACGAAGTTATTTGTATTTTATCTCCCTAGTGTGTGCCATAGGAACGTGGGGTATCAACTGTACAAATAATTGTACCAGCGGCTGTTTGGAAAATTCTTGTAACAACATGGATGGCTTTTGTGATAGAGGATGTAATGGATATCAAGATTTTCCGAGTTGCAATAAGGGTGAAGAAGTCTAATTAACCTAATGTTAAAACTAAATGTTATAATATATAGTACATACTCTTTTGTTTGGAAATATATATTTAAATGACTAACGATATCTGCTTAATTTTTTGTCCACCCTAAAATTGTAAATACTGTTTGTAGTCATCATCATAAACAATTACAAAATGGATTAGTATTTAGTACAGCTGAATGCTGACTTAATGTAATATGTTCCTGTATAGCTAATTTTAGTGCAGGCCTTTATTAGTTTTGTTAGGTCTCTACCTGCAATCCAGTTAACGTAAAACTTCCTGAAACATTATGTCAGGCATTCTTTCTTTTTCATCCATGTCTTTATTTAAAAGCTAGAACCGTTTTTTTTTCAATAGAACGTCTCTAATCAGTCATGATATTACACACACAGCTAACTCTTATTTTCTTCATTAAGAATGTGATTTTTTGCACTGGGGACCAAACTGTACAAGAAGCTGTAACCTGGGTTGTTTTAACTTGTCTTGCGACAGCATTTCTGGTGCATGTAGCGAAGGGTGTTATGGCTACAGCGACCCACCTAGCTGTAATACAGGTCGGAATCAATTAATTTACGAGCAAATAATGTGTGAGGCATGCAGTGTCAGTAATTGCTTACGTTGCTACAAAAATTCTATTAAAAAAATTAAACGTCCATTGTCATCATGACATTTTAAAGAACCTAAGATTAAACATTATTTATATAATCTACTTAATTTGTAAAATTGTACCATTTATTATCAATAACATCATTGAAAGTCAAGTAAACGAAAATGGGGTCGAGATTTTTTTAAAAAAATATGCAAGAGAAGCTGTTAGAATAGAACATGTTACTGTGTTAGTGTTACGGGATTGTGAAGGAAGGCTGTAACGGCTGTAAGGACTTCACAAAAGTGATATTATTGTAGTAATAAATAGAAAAGACTGCAGATGAAATCAGTTGTGAAACAAGATTTACTTTTTTTTAAAATATTTATGCACAACGTCTCTTTAATTATGTGATTTATTATTGCATGTTTTTTTTCCACATATCGTTCAACAAATGCCATCATGCAGCCTGTGACAAAGGAAAGTGGGGACCCAATTGTACAAACACGTGCAACACCAGCTGTTGGGACAACTCGTGTAACCGTTTGACTGGATTGTGTGACGAGGGCTGTAACGGCTTCAAGAACTTTCCGCACTGCTCTTTAGGTAACGACAAAGTCAAATTTGACGCAAAACTTTGCTCTGCGCTTGCAGATCATACAATCAAATCATCTATCATTTTAATGTCACCAATCAAAATTAAATCTAGTATTCCATTGTTATGTATAAATATGTATAATTTTATTATGGTTTAATTCGTTTCTAGTCATGAAGGATAATATTTGAGGGACTACGTTCAAAGCCGTGTCAAGGAAATGTGGCACAAGATATTTTTATGCTGGAATTAAGAAAATAACAACAACACAAAATAACAACAAACAAACAGAAAAACAAACAAAAATCATCAAATGGACAGCTGTCGGACGCACCATAAACTTTCTCGGTTTTGAAGGCTGTAGGAGAGTTGTTGTGGGAATTATACTCATGATGTAATTATTCTGACATGCTGTACATCTAGTTGCGATCACTATTCCTTAAAGCCAATGTTTGATTACGCAGTAAATGTCTTACAAGATTTAACATTGCTGCTGCTTTTATATTTTAATACAAAACAATTCTTGGCTCATCATTTCCTTCGTTTCTATTCCTAAGGAAGTAATCAAAAAAAAAAAAATTCCTTCTCACATGGATTCTCCTATCACAGCACCGGTTGTATGGCGTGACGTCTTGTAGCCAACTGCCTTCAAAATTGGATAAAGTTTATGGAACGCACGACAGATGTCCAATTGTTTTTTTGTTTTTTTTTGGTCTTTTTTTCTTTTGTTGTTTCATTAGTTTCTGTAATATGACAGCCACCTGACATTTATATCACATATGAAACAGATCATGGCACCTATAACGAATGAAGGGAGATACCCTCGAAAATTTTTTTTTGTCTCATTCATTCGCCAAAGGAAACGTCATTAAAGGAATCTCCACAGAAAAATCTCTCTTCTACTTGTCGTTGTTACCGTTCCAGAAAGCAACAGATATTAATTAGTATCCAACAGTACTCAAAATTTCAGCTCAATAATCATGTGAAACCATTTTAGTCCTTGACACATCATAAGACTCACTGATTGTTTGATGTTATTGTTGTCGTTTTTGTGTTTGTTTTTTAAGTAGTTTGCGAGATTTTTTTATAGCAGAAGAAGAGTTACATTTAGCAAAGACTGATACGTTAATGCTATTGTGGTAAAACTGTTGATAATACTCCGTGTATCTTAACCAGAGATAATGTATCCAAATGTTATCAGCATTGTCTAATCCCATTTGGGTGCCTATATGTAATCCGTGTTGTTCACCTATATGTAATCTCAGTTGTGCACCTATATGTAATATCAGTTGTTCACCTAAATGTAATCTCTGTTTTGCACCTATACGTAAGCCCAGTTGTGCAATGTGCACATATATGAAATCTCAGATGTTCACCTATATGTAATATCAGTAGTGCACCTAACTGTAATCCAAATTGTGCACATATATGTAATAGCGGCTGTGCACCTTTTGTCGCCTGTCTTGATCATTTTTGTCTCGGCCATTCATAACTGAACAAGTAGTTGTTTCTTTTTTCCCTTCATCTATCAGCATGTGATTCAATGACTTGGGGCCTAAACTGTACAAGGAGCTGCAGGTCAGGATGCTTTAATTCATCGTGTAACAGATTTACTGGTCTATGTGACCTGGGATGTGATGGATACAGTGATCCACCTATGTGTACCCAAGGTCAGAATTATTACTTTGCCAGTAAACATCACACATAAGATTTTTAAAAACATATTTTAAAAATGCTTTTGTAATTTTTTTTTCGTAGAGACATTTAAAAGAAGTTGAGATTATTTTTTTTTTTTAATTTCGTTTATTTGTTAACTTTTAGCATTCATATAAATATGTATATTCTTCATCAATAACTTCATACAGAGTGTAATAAAGGAAAGTGGGGTCAGGATTGTTCAAACACATGCAATACCAGCTGTTGGAACAACTCATGTAACCATGTTACCGGAATGTGTGATGTCGGATGTAACGGCTACAAGGACTTTCCAAACTGCATTTCTGGTAACAAACATTTTAAATTCAACCGAAATATTGATCATCTCCTTACAAAGCGTAAGAACAAATGTTCTATCATTTAAACGTGTATGCATACATTACATGTGTTTTTATGTTTATGTATATGTGCTCTCTCTCTCTCTTTCTCTCTCTCTCTCTCCTGTTCTCCAATTTACTATTTAATTATTGTGTAGATACTATAGACTAATCTCTATCAGCATTTTTTTCACTATTTCAAGCGTGTGATGACGGTCTGTGGGGCCTAAACTGTGCCCAATCCTGCAAGGCCAACTGTTACAACAAATCATGCGATAAACAAACTGGAGTGTGCAATCAAGGATGTAACGGCTACCGTAATCCTCCATATTGTGACGCTGGTAAGTGTGTTACTTATGTCCATTTTACATATTTTGGTGACGTGAACTTTTTGAGGACCTTCTTTTAAGGAACATGATAATAATTCAAGGCATTCCTTTCAGACTTTACATGTTGTGAACATCAAATTTGTAACGCGCGGTATTTCGTTTATTGAGTTGTTATTTTATCGATTGCGCAAATAAAATTAACCAATGGGAACTAATTATTGCAGTGTCCACACATTAATATACTTGGGGGGGGGGCAAACTTATCAGATTAAGTTTAAACTTTTCAACGTTTACTTTAAAAGTGATCATTGTTTAGTTTAGTTAACGAATTATTATTAACTACAATGGTTTATTATGCTTTCTTTTTGTATGAAGAGGGTGAATTTAAAACATTTACAAAATGATACATGCGGGCTTTATTATCGTGATGGAGTAAAAAAACATTAAACAATTTGATTAACAAGTTTTTCTGTAAATGCTATTCACATTTGTAAATAAAATATAGATGAACCGATTTCTAATATGCGACGAGCGAGGCCACTGGCTCAATTTTAATGCATCAAAGTTTAATTTCTTTCGATAAATATTTAAACAAACCATATATTCGCGAAATGAGTTATCGTTTTTTTATGATGCAAAAATGTAACGGCTAATGAGCATTTTATGTTACGTTACTGGTTGTTGTGCTGCTGCTCAGATCCTGCTCCTTTATTCGCGTGTAGCTTGATGTTCCCATTATATTGTTTGCCTTATCTCCTCATGCATTCGGCATTTTTTTTTTTTACTGTTCGTACCACTCTCAAAGAAATATTTAAATTCAACTGCAATTCATCTTATGTAGTGTGTGCTTCTGGATCATGGGGCATGGATTGTACAATGATCTGCCTGGAAAACTGTTACGATCGCTCGTGTGATCCACAAACTGGATTATGTAGTAAAGGATGCAATGGATACCAAAACCCTCCAGCTTGTAACATTGGTAAGTGTTCTAAAATATTCGTAATAAATTTACTTCTTGATCTGGTTGAAAAGCGTGTATACGTAAATAAATGTGTATATTGTTTTAATCATTGGTATATTTGGGTGGGAAAATAATTTTTTTTTGTTATTTTCAAATTGTTTTATTTAGTGTTGCTGCGATTAGCGTATTTGTAATTAAATATTTTAGGTAATTTTTCTTATTTAACACAATGATAGAGCTAGTATTTGGATAACGTGGAGTAAGGAAAAGATTTTATGATTACAATCAGAAACTTAGCCCCTAAGAGCATTTTATAATCAGAACGTCATCTGCAAAAATAACTTTTGAATTAACAAGTTGCGTAGCTAAGTAGAATGACCATTGATGTGGCTATTATTTTAACTAGTCATTTGATAAGTGATATGGCTAGTCATGTGACCAGTAGGGTACCATTGATGGGGCTGCTCAGGCGATGGTGATGTGGATAGTAATGTCACAAGTAATGTGACCTGTCTTCACCACTCTGATGCAGTCTCAGCTCCGTTGGATGGGACACGGAGCCCGTATGGAAGACCACCGGCTCCCGAAACAGATATTCTTCGGAGAACTCACGATAGGCAAGCGCTCCCAAGGGGGTAAAAAAAAATGCGTTACAAAGACTCACTGAAAGTGGCACTAAAGGCCTTCAGCATAAACCATACTCAATGGGTGCAAACAGCTCAGGACAGAGCCAGGTGGAGAGCTTCTGGTCAAGAAGGGGGCCAAATCCCATGAAGCTAATTGGATATACACAGCTGAGACACGCAGGATTGCCCAAAAGAGCAACATTAGGTGAAAAGATTATTCCGAGCACAGATTGGTCTAGCAAGCCACCTACGAGCGCACCATAACCCAACCTTCCCCTAACCTCTGGATGACTTGATGGTCTTAGTCGACTTCGACGGACGAACAACAACAATCATGTGACTAGTAATGTGGCTAGTATGGGGACCAGTTATGTCGCTATTAATGTGACCAGTAATATAACCAGTAATGTGGCAAGTAGTATGCCTTTAAAAAAAACCTTTCTTTTACTTCAGTGTTTCAAAAAATGTTAAGCATTACCACCTTATCTCATATAAAAATATAAATACACCCCCCGTCCCAGAATATATTCCCCAATGACCTTTAAATTCCCTCAATGTTGGACTTGTGCTCCACGTTGGAAAATATTTGCTTACCAAAGGTTGGCGTTTTTTAAGTGGCAATCTAAAATGTTTGAAGCAAATTCAAACTCAATTAATCAATAAATTATTGAGAACAAAATACTATTTTGAATCAAGAAATTACATTTACACGGTTTCTGTGGAAGCTACCTCGCCATGATGTAATCTGTAGTGTTTAGTGAAGCAAACATAGTTCATTTTGTAAATATATAAATAACATATAAATGCTTGTAGAATGATTAACAACATACTTTTCAATTCCAATTTAACAACATTAATAAATATTAATGTTTCACAATAATTTGGTTTTTTTTTTGGTTGTTCTTTAAATGTGATAATTTTTAGCTAACACTCAGTTGTATTATTTTCAAGCATGTATACACGGTTCATGGGGCATTAACTGTGTGAACAGATGCAAGGAAAACTGTTATGATTCTTCTTGTGATAAAGTAACAGGATTATGTAATCGAGGATGTTTTGGTTTCAGTAATTTCCCTAGTTGTGACAGGGGTAAGTCTGCTTAGATAGATAAACCACAGGCAAATAAATTTTATAAGGAACATTTAACGTGCGTTTTATCATATAAGTACATTTCGATATATAGAAAAAAATAAGTATTTTTACAATGTTTAATCAATGCGTAAATTATACAAGATTATATAGATTATTTAAAAAAAAACAACATGCAGTTAATGTTATATAATAAAAACAAAATTTATTTAATTTCCTATTCTCTAGGATTTGGATCTTTCTTTATGTCATGTCAAACTTTGCACAGATTGCTGTTCTTAAATGAATACGTTTCTGTAATTGCTAATTTTAATGTGAAGCGCAGTGAGCCTAGCACTAGTCTGGAGTACTGTGTAATATAAAACCACCTAATAATAATAATAATAATAATGTCCTATTCTATAACATTTGAATAATGCTTATGTTGTTTCGAGAAAATTGGATTTATGTTACAGATTTTCTTTTCTCAAAATTGCATTTTTTAAATGCATCACTCAAAGTTAGTAATTTCTCTTTGAAAACGAAATGCCATGAAAATAGAGGAGGAATATATATATTTTTTTTAAAAGTTTATTTTAAATCAAATGTTTCTTCATTCTTTTTCTCTCTAGAAGATGTACTTTATTTTCAGAATTTCAAGGTTTTCCTTTCACTGATCAGTATATCTGCTATTTCATGTAGTTTCCATCTTAATAGACGTTATCTTTTATTTTTTTTATTTGCTTTGGCAACATAGACTATACATAGTTTGAAAATAAAATTAAGCAATTTTAATCTGTTGGCCAATGTTCTTTTGGGCTTAATTTCAACAAAAATAAAACTAACAATTAAAACATATCATCTCTTCGCAACTCATCAGTGTCAGCGGGGCCACCCTTTTGTAAATCTGGTAGACCACGCCATAATTCGTGCTTGTTTACATAATGTGCTAGATCAGTTTCAAGTAAGCCCAGATTTGGCAATGGTTGAAATATATATATTTTTTTTCTTCTTAAACGTGTCGTCATTTTAAGAATGTTACTCGGGAATGTGGGGAGTAAACTGCACAACTCCATGTGACCACTGCTTCCATAATTCATGTGACCACATCAACGGAAAGTGCAAGATTGCCTGTGAAGTGGGATACAGTGGATTCCCAGATTGCAGTACGAGTAAGTCTAAACGATGGATTTATGTGGTGTTTTCAGAATATAAACATATTTTCAATATTTGTGAACTTGTATGTCTAGTTTCATGTTTTTGGTAGAGGATTTAAAACGATCTTAGATAACAGCAATTTTGATATCACCACCTTATTTAATGGAATCTGTTTTAAAAAGGCTTTAATCATTGAAATTACTTCCAATCACACAGATTGCCCTGAACGGTATTACGGTATCGATTGCTCCGTTCAGTGCTCACAGAACTGCCAGGACGGACACTGCAACTCTACCACTGGGATATGTTTGCATTGTCCGCAAGGATATCAAGGCCAACTATGCGATGTTGGTAAGAATGCGACGCTCTGTCTTATATGTAAATAAACGCGTATGGAAATTGAATACTGTCTAATATCATACAAACATAAATTGGGATAACATAATCAGCATCATGTACACGTGTCATAGTGTCTTTCTTTCAAGTTAGTACCTATAATACATACATTTTAACCTTAATTATAGTGGTCATTATTTTTCTTTCACTCTTCTCCAGAGGACAAGGACGCTAACTCTTACAGTATGCTAACTGGGCTTGGGGCTGGACTTGGTGTCTCCTGTGCAGTGATTATCTCCCTTCTCATTGTGATATTTGTGCTCATACGTAGAGGGCGACACGTGTCCAAAAATAAACGCACAGAAGATCATTACGATAGTGTAACAACGGGAAATGATTACAGCCATGAGTACCAAACCCACGAGAGCCCAAGTAAGTACTTTGTTCTTCGTTTTTCTCATTGGATTTATCAACCGTTGATAAAACATTCGAATTTCAAAGACATTTTAAAAAAAAAATACTTTGTGTTACATTTGGAAACCAAACTAATAACTTACGTTTTCCATAAGAAATACTGAATACTATTTTCCTTCTAAAGTTGACCGACGAACAAGGAGTTATATAATTACTCCCCTCCCCACTAAAAAAGAAATGTTAAAATAAAAATAATATAACATCTTTAAACAAAAAAAAAAGTTTGGTTTACATAGAGTTGAAGTCAGCACAATTTATTCATATTTTTAGGAAGAGATTGGTCTTTATTATTGTTAACTTTTTACAGGTCATCACTACGCATTATGACAAAAAGTATAATCAATACAAACACTTCAAATCAGGTGTCCCCAGTTAACACTATCTGCAGCAGCATACACTTATCGTGGAATATCTATTCTCAAAGATTCAAATAACGTAGCAGTAAAAATACACCATGTTTAAACACAAAAAAACAACTGCTAGATAAAACAGTGCTATTTATCTATTCACCACAACACATTTGACATCTACTAAAGTTGACCCACGCTGATTATCCTTTATTTTTTTTACAGGTCATTATCAAAACGTGCCAACCAGAAAAAGAACAGCGGAGCAGACCAATGTGCAGTTACATCATGTCTACAACAATGAAGACGCGATTACAAACAATGAATACGAAACCATCGGAATATAGAACATACATTATATGTGATGAAAGGATACTCAATGTTATTTTTACTTGGCAAAAGAAAAAGTAATTTTTCCATCGATATTGATTTAAACCCGTGAAAATACGATACTTTTGCTCATGAAATGTACATAGTTTCATCTCCACAACAATACTTGTTTATAAACAAGCTTTTGCTATAAAGACGTTACAATTTTTAATGAGCTTTTCTTGTGTGCCAAATTGTACTTTTTTGTAGAAAGCTAATTTTATTTAAAAGTATTCACGGTTTAAATTTCAATTTGGTAGAAGTTACGTTTTGCTGTAGGTAATGACAGTCTCGAACACATTGTTAATATCAAAACGTATTTGTTATTAAATACCATGCCTTAGGTAGCTTAACTTCAACTCTATGTACAAAGACTTTAAATGTGCTAAGCTTGTGTAATGCGAAGTAGTGTGATTGTGAATGAAAATCCACGTGCAAATTTGAGGCTACTTTTGAATGTAAGTGCTGTGTCGAACTCCTGCCTTCACCCTGTGATGCTAATTAGCTTTTTTTTCTCGATGATAGAACCACTTAGCTTTAACTTACAGTCCATGATGTTAACATCCACCTGTAATATACATGATGTGCACAATGTGCACCCCAAACACAATTTTTTTAAGTTGTGTGTGTCATACACATTAACAGGACTGCCCAGCTCAACTATCCACCCTTGCTATGGCATTAGGGATGCAATTCTTACAAATTCGCTGAAGTATTTAATATATTGAGATACAATGATAATTAAAGATATTAAATATTGCCATATCATTACCTTTCTCTGCCTCTCCTCTCTCTCTCTCACTCTCTTTCACTTTATCTATCTCTCTCTCTGTCCCTGCCTTTCTCCCTCTGTCTCCAGCTTTCACATTTACTGCTAGATTATTGTTTCTTTCCGTATAACATTACAGCCTCCAAGACTGCATATACGGCAAATTTAACGCTTTTTTATTGATAGATGGTCTCTCTTGATAGTACATACATTTATGTGCATTATAAACGTGTTTAAGTTGTGCAGCTTAATTTTCCGAAAATTCAACGCTGTTTCAGTTGTTCTCCAACGCCCCTCCCCCCCCTCTCTCTCTCTCTCTCTCTCTCTCTCTCTTTCCCGCTCGCTCTCTCTTACCCTTTCTTTTTCTCTCTTTCTCTCTTGCTATCTATTTATTAGCATTAGTTTTCAGACATACGGCGAAAATTATTTTTTTTTTATATTTATGCAAAGAAGAGATTGACATAAATACTGTGATAGAAAGTAAATGTGTATTATCACGGTTTTGTTCTCTAAGACTTTTTTTAAATTTTTTTTTGTTACGAATACTTTTAATAATTTTACAGATAATGTGGTTTATGAAGAATACTTTAAGTCTAATTTTTTGCATAGTTTTATCTTCATTAAAGCTTGTTTCTATTTAAATTGTCTTTTTGTTATATCTTTAATAAATACATATGCATTTTAGCCAACGATGGAACTTGTCAGAAGACGTTAAGATTTATCAAATACTAATCATTATCTACAATGGAGCCTTTAATATGTTATTAACTATTAGTGGTTAAACACACCTGATTCTCAATATTAGTTAAACAACACCACACTGTTTTTATTAAAAATGACAAAAGTCTATTTCTGGATTAGCATGATTTGATAGAAATTTGCTTTGTATCGAGTTTAGGCATAAAAAAATGGTTTACACATTTTAATTGAAAAGATTCACAATCATACATAACGGCAAGATGGTTCCCTAAATTAGACAGTCGAGCTTAAGCTGGTGGTTTCATGGGTTCCTTCCATATGCATTTATGTTGGCCTTTATTTAAATTGTAAGAAATTTGTTAAAACAAAACCAAAGTACAATTTTATATAACAATTTTAGCATTTTGCTGATCGACATTAAATTGTAAATAAAAAATGCCCACAACACAAGCCCTAACGACAACACAAACAAACCTCTAAAACAACACATACACATTTCTACAATATCACACACATCTACAACAACACAAACCTCAATGACAACACGCAAACATTTCTTCAACAACATAAACCTCAATGGAGACTTACCCATATCTCTACAACATCACAAATCTCAACCCCAGCACACACATTTCTACAACCACACAAGCCTTAACCACAGCACACACACATTTCTACAACAACACAAGCCTTAACCACAGCACACATACATTTCTACAACAACACAAACCTTAACCACAGCACACATACATTTCTACAATAACACAAACCTTAACCACATCACACATACATTTCTACAACAACACAAACCTCTACAACAACACTCACATATCTCTACAACAACACAAACCTCAACCAGAAGACACACATATTTCTACAACAACACAACCTCTACAACAACACTAAACCCTACAACGCCACAAACCTCTACAACAAAACACAATAATACAACAGTAAAAGCTTCAAGAACAATACAAACGTCTACAACAACACAAACCTCTCTAATAACACAAAATTCTACAGGAACACAAACATCTACAGTAGCAAACTCTCTATAACAACACAAACCTCTACAATAACACGAACCTAACGCAAACCTCTACAACAAAACAAGCATCTTCGACAATACACACACCTCTACAACAACACACATACCTCTACAACAACACAAAACTCTACAACAACTCAAACGTCTACAACATTGGTTCTCAACCTTCCTAATGCCGCGACCGCTTAATACAGTACCTCATGTTGTTGCGACCCCCCAACCTCCAAATTATTTACGTTGCTACTTTATAACGGTAGAGTATATATATTTTCCGATGTTCTTAGGCGATCCATGTTATGTGGCCATTCGACCCCCAAAGGGGTCGCGACCCACAGGTTGAGAACCGCTGGTCTACAACCACATATAACTCTACAAAAGATCTTCGTTAGAACAATTTCTAATAGAGCAATTAAAAAAAATAACAAGCCATTAAATGTGTCATTTTTGTTCATGGGAAAACCTCCTTGCATTGTAGGGCTGCATCTTTAATTCTAATGTCTAAAAACAGAACCATACATGCCCCGCCCGACCAGAATAGACATACATTAAACACGTAGTCAGGGACCTGCTATATTTATTCCATCTTCTAGACATGAAACGTTGGCTCTACAATGTATTTAACATTTCCCCCGTCTTTGTGTGTGAACCCTTAAACTTTAGCATACAAGTTATACAATTGTACGAAACTTATTTTTCTTTCAATTTCTTTGATTTTTAAATCAGTTACAAAGAAATTTGTAAATTCCATAAAGTAATATCAGCAGTATCCACCCGCCGCTATTTGTCTAAGCGGCACACGTATCAAAACGATATTACCAAACATCTCAACTTTAACTAATGGTGAGAATCACATACCGATGCTAGTCATTACTTTTAAAAGGAAATGGAAATTTGGAAGAAGAAAGAAGTGAAATTCTAGGAATAAATGTAGAAACCGAAGATTTGAGATCCGTCCGAATGGGATTCAAAGATACCGATCTTAATGACTTACACACATTGTAAATAAACACACACACACACACAAACGTAGAAAAACTGATAAAGCTTAATTTGTATATGTTATATAGGGGTCATTTTTATATAATATATAAATTGTCGTTTTCAGCATTTTTGGAAAGTGTTACTGAGATAAAGTGCATAAATTTTTTTTATTTTAGAATCTCAATCATGTGTAAAAATAAAATCATTCTATACGTAATAATTGATTCATAATAGTAATTTTTGACAAATTTTTTGGAAAGTATATGTTATGACTGATCCTACTTCAGAAGCTTAACACATAGCTGAGGAATTATATATATATATATATATATATATATACATATAAAACATTGAAAAATACTTTACAATCAGTGTGAACCGGAAAGAGAGAGAAGGGGGGAGAGATAGTCAATCCTGATCAAATAAAACCATCCAGCTGAGGACCTGTAACATGAAGTACTTTACCCGACTTTTATGGCACTATCCAAGTAACACAACACGCGTGTGGACACAGCTCAAGTTTTGACAAAAAAAAGTAGGCTTTATAATATGGTCTTGGCGTAACTTTTACTGGGGATTCATATAAGAGGTCGTAACAAATCTACATATAGTTATTGACTGTGTTGTTTATTCTAAAACTATTTATGCTTACCCTTTACTTCTGTGAGGAATTAGTGTATGGAACTATGGGATATCCCATTCTTTAGACAGGTAAAAACAAAATGTAAGCAAATATAGTTAAAAAAGGAAGAACAACCTGATTTACTTCCTGGTTGTAATATGGCTATTCATATATACTCATTTATATCAGTTAAAATGTTATGTACTGAATTTACGTAACATTATTATTTTATCACTTATATTTTGGTTTTAATGTTCTTAATTAAAGGATGCTATATGAAGAGTCGTGGACTTCTTTGGCCAAGCCGCCCTATCAAACATGTATTTTCCTCAGCATTTGGAATTCAGTTTCAGCTAACGTGACGTAAAACCTTACCATGGGCATGACGTAAAAATATTATAGTTTGAAACTCTAATTTTTTTATTTAAAGATAGACAATATATTAAGAACAATTTTAGAATTATAAACAATGGATCACAGAACAAGTAAAGTTAGTTTATAAGCAACCATTGTAAATAAATAGTTTGAGTATCTCGGATCGAGTTTGAAATCCCAAGTAATATTATTATTATTATTTTTAAAATATGTATAATTTGATTTTTTTTTGTTCGTTCATCAAGTATTTACAAAAGTATTATCTTTAAGTTGTCAAACATACAAATATGCTCTTTGATTATTGTGTTGTATTTGAATTAGTCTAAAACATGCCGAGTTTTATTGGTTTAATACTTACAATGACAGCCGCCTTTTAACCACTAGACAATCTGTGTCCCAAAAGGTTACTTTTGCAGACATAATTTTATAAAATGGTGCCTTACTCAAACAAGTTTGCTGTCGCCTGTTTTAAAACATTAGACCTTACTGCGTATTGGTCGTTCTTTGTCTTTGACATGTCTTATTGAGTGTACACTGTAAGTGGAGATTTTATCAGGCAGTATTAGTGTAGTAGGGAAGTAATCCAGGCTGTCAGAATATCCATCCCAGACGGAAGTTGACCAAGTGGGCAAAATATCACCAGCAGAGCGGCCCAGGCGGTAAAAAAAAAGATACCGGACAACAGGCATTTTCCCCGGTGTCTTGCTGGGCCATTCCACCACAGTATATTCATTTAGCTAAGTTATATGTCAAGCAACAATGAATCTTTCAACAGTTTCGAAGACAATTTGTTTGATTGGAGGCTTAGCTGTATGACAACGTTTATTCACGTTTCCACCTAATATCTTAAATCACTGAAGAAGGAAGTTATTTGTTAATAAATTTGTTAACAGGAATTTTTATGGTGCTTACATATTATACACTGATAACAGGCAAACATGCCCCATTTTAAAAGCAAAGGCGTGAAACAAATTTCAGACATTACATTTCCTCATTCTAGATAAGGAGAAGCAAGAATTGCAATATTTTTTTTTCCGTCAAGTCAATTTAAAAAAAAATTAGATTAATAAAACAAAATGTTAATTTTTTTTTTTTTTTTCAAATCATGAAAGTTTATCCTTAAAGGAACCAACCATAGGCAACGGTGAGAGGTTTCAATCGTGTCAGTGTGTAGTTTCAATCCTTAACCCTGAGTTGTTGCTGTTTGAAATACAACAGACGTTTGCTGTTAAATCATATATAAGGCTATTTAATTTGCTAAAATATAACGTAACCGTTTTCTCATAAAGCAAAATTAAAGTGCAAATTTATGACTCTATGACCGTCTTGTACTACTTTCACCTTTATTGTTGTAAAAAAAGAAAAAGATACAATTATATTCCTAAGGAAATATAAAATATAATATTTCAAATTAGAAACTAAGTAGGATCTTTGACGTCACCGGCGATCGGTTACAGTTATTATAATGGTATATTATTTCTATATTCTTTTTAAAAAAGAAGTGAATTCTGAAAGATTAATTGGATACTCTAAATAACACATGACGTCACCGGCGATTGGTTACAGGTATTATAATCGTATATTATTTCTATTTTTTCTTTTTTTTAAAAAAAGTGAATTCTGAAAGATTAAATGGATACTCTAAATAACACATGTTTTAGTAAAATGAGTTCAGGTATGTTTATAATCTGTTCATGTGGGTTATCAAAAATGAATAAAGTCAATCAAAAGTAAGCAACGACAAATAAATACTAGTTAGTTAGTTTTAACCCCCTTCCCCACCCCTCTTGCAAAAACGTATGTGTAACAATTTAATTAAATGTATACTGATCTCAC